GTTTGTTTTATCTATTAATTTAATTTACTTTTATTTTGTTTTTATGTTCATAAAAAATAAAAATCAATTTTACATCATAAATAAAGTGACCGTAAAAAAAGCTGGACTTAAGTCACTATTCCAGTTTTTTTTTGTAGTCACTTTATTTATGATGTAAAATTAATTTTGATATTTTATGAATATAAAAATAAAATAAAAGTAAATTAAATTGATAAATAAAACAAACATTCTTAATTCTTTCTACTTCTACGATAAATGCATTTTTCCTAATTTTGGACTTATGCCACTTGTTAACTAAGGGGCTCATATGTATATCAATATATAGCATAAAATATTTTAAACTTTATTAAGATCAAAACATAAAATGTTGCGTATAATAATTAATATAGATACACAGAGCACGTACATTGAGAAAAAAATGCTATTGATTCAATTAAAGTCTATATTACGGGCTGTCACTAACATAAGTAATTAAGGGGTTATGCCTACCTGTAAACTTCAAAAAAATCGATTTTTGAATTTTGATATTTTTTTAAAGTACATACTTTCAAAAATATTCCCTGTAAATTTCAAGTCGATTCGACAAAAATTGACGAAGTTATGTGAGTTTAAAGGTATATTTATTTGAACGTTTGAAGCAGGTATTTTACGTGAAATTGCGGTTAGACGACAATTTCCATAAAAATAGAGGAGATAACGTTGGCAGCAACGAAAATCCTCTAGATATTTCAATTTCTACGGATTGGTTACACTGTGTAAGTAGAAGTAAATTTGCGAAGTCTGAAATATGCGAGCGCGCGTAATATAAAACGATTAAGATTAGGAAAGTTAATATATTTTTTAAATGAAGTTCAAGTATAAAGATATATTATAGTGAGGAATAGGTTTTTCATGTATGACATTTAGAATATATTTATTATTTTTAATTGTTAAAACTTGCTTTGTATTCTACATCTTTATCTTTACGGAGGGAGGAGAGGAGAGAGAGAAATTGCATCATCTCTATTTAGTGTGATGAAAAGTATTTATGGGTTACAAGAAAAAGAAGACAAATTAAAAAAAATTTGGAATGAAATAGAAATAGAAGGGAAAAATTTGAATTTACTATTATATTTAAATAAATTGTCAAAACTTGTAATTGACACGACAAATGTAACCAATCCGTAGAAATTGAAATGTTTCACCTAGACGATTTTCGTTGCTGCCAACGTTATCCCCTCTACTTTTATGGAAATTGTCGTCTAACCGAAATTGCGTGAGTATTTTTTTTTTTAATTTTGTACAGTCCAAACTATTGGGCGAAAATATAGGGGATTTGATTCTAGCTGTTAGGGGTGTTTGGGGAATTCTAAGATATGTTTTAGGAGACACCTTTCAAAATCACTTGGCAAACTTCAAACGCATTTTTCTCAAAACCACATTTTTAAAATCGGTGACCAAAATATCTCGAGAACCGCTGCATCGATCAAAATGAAATTTGATAGGCTTCTTTAATACTAAAAAATTAGTGCCCGATCGTGGCTTTTTTTTTCGTTGCGTATTTTTTTTTATGAAAAAACGAGCGAATTTTGGTAGAAGAATCGTACCTTCGAATTTGAACAGCCGCCATTTTAATTTTTCGCAAATTAATTTTTCAAAAAAATGAACGATCGGGCACTAGATAATCTTATATATTAACTAAATTTGTCGAGCTTTTTGATTTGAGATAAACCAGCTCAAAGCTAGAGAGGTCACCGCAAAATGCTTCTAGAAAAACTGCTTCTGGGAGATTACTCACATCTTCCTTATTTATCGATATTTTGCAATAAAAAAAATATTGAATTATCCTCGAAATAGATATATTTGAAAACATAAACATTTATTTCAAAAACACTTCAAGTTTTTTCACAAAAAATTCCCAAGAATACGTGTTTTTCGACCATGCAGGTAGGCCTAACTCCTTAATTCATATATATTTTTATTGACATAAAGGCCTTGATTATTGAAATAATAATTTATGTCTTTATGTCAATAAAAATATACATGAATTAATAACTTATGTTAGTGACAGCCCGTAATAGACTTTAATTAAATTAATAGTATTTTTTTCTTAGTGTAAATAAATATCGAATTTGTTCAAAACGTGAATAAAAACCTATATTAATTATAAATTAAATCCATATAGAAATGAATGCCTTAAACGATCCAATCGGATCTTAGGCGCTTGTATAATTCTGTGTGAATTTATATACTACGTATGTGCAGTATTTTAAAATGCACGCCAAAATGATTTTTCGGTCTTAAAATGCAAACTACTGAACTACCATAGTAATATTACGAGTTAAATTGACTTTTAATAATTAATTTAACTCGTCAATTATTATAATTTAACAGTTAATTTAACTCGTCAATTTAGTATATAAATAATAGTATATAAATTCACATAGAATTATACAAGCACCTAAGATCCAGTTAGACTATTTAAGGCATCTACTTTTATAGATCATGTTTCTCACATATACAGCCCTATAAGATTTAATATTAATTATAAATTAATTTGCTTATAGCTAATTGAAACTTCAGTTCTAGAAATACCTATATAAGTTCCCGAATGGATTTATCAGATTACGGCAAATTTCTTGATTTAATTCCATATATGTATATTTATAAATATGAAAGATCTTAGAAATAACATTAAATGATCGAACAATTTTGCATTTTGCATTTTGCATATCGAGAATCATATTAGACACAAAGGAGAATAAGGTATTTTGTGATAATTGTCGATGCGTTAATATCTTTAAAATTCAGATGGAAATGCGATGCATGGCCGAAACGAATACAGATAATTGCAGGTGAAAATAATACCATGTAATTTTGAATGTGCACATATACAATCAGCTGATTCAAAATCATTTAGAATGTTATTTGCCAATGCCAATGAACATTTCGAATGCCTCTTCCATCTTGCTAATTTAAACCAGCACGTTACATTACTATTACACAGCAATATTGGAGATCGTCATCGATATTAATTAAATGGATTAAATGCAACATGGGAATGCAGTAGATGAAAGAAGGGAAAGGAATTCATAATGCAATGCGTATTAAATTCGTACAAGTTGCAAAATAACTAACGTTTAAATATTTCTAAATTGAGAGATGAGATAGATGAGATATTCGTCGTACACATGCATTATGCACGTATAAAATGTATTATGGATGAAATTCAATACAGTGCATATTTGAGAAGAACTGGGGTGAACTTGGCAAGGAAAGAAATGTGCTTGTACATATTGTCTCGGAAAAATTGTGTTAATAAAGGAAACGAGAAAAATAATCTGACAACGTGACAATCCATTAATTCATAGATTTATAAAAGTTGTAGGAACGGTGATAGTTTAATATTGATTTGTTTTTTATTATTAACATAAAAGTAGCTTACATGCTACCATACTATAGTAATAAAGAAAAAGTGATACCTATGTCTTCCCTTTAATACTCTATTATATTGTTTAAACGTAACATTAATAAAGGACGTTATTAATATCGTTTGATGTGGTCATCCTCGGAAATTCATGCTCAAGAATACGTATATGTTTCAGAAATTACACATCGGTTTCAAACAGCTCGAAGAGAAGTCCGGCAATTGTTACTGCAATATTTGTTGCCCTGGTTGCATAATATGGAACTTGTTGATCCTAATGTACCGCCGCCATCTAATCCGTTGAGTTATTATCAGGTGAATGAAACTCATTATCGTGATCAGCTTTGGAATAGCAGCGCTACAGAAAATTGCATTTTACTTCGAAATTCTGGAACTCTGCTTTTGCTTTTGGACGTAGTTAATAGAGATAATATAAGACAATAGAGAGAAATAACATAAGAAATACTTAAGATAATAATATAATTGACAAAAACATTTATCGAAAAAGATATTTTTATATTGTGATGTTACGTTACTATTCAAGAGCTGATAATATAGCAAATTCATATTAATAATTTATATTACGTTTGTCTATTTTGGTTTGTCTATTTTTATTTGTCTATTTTGAAATATTAGGCAAATAATTAGTTTTTAATAAAATGTATATTTATTGCGTACCTCCTACAGCGGTAATTCCCAAGAATTATTTTATTAATATTATATTTATTTTATTTTATTTCGGGAATTAACAGTATTGTTTCATTTGTTTATCTATTTTGGTTTGTGGAAGTTGATGAGGTAATGGAGCTTTGCAACTTTTAATTGATCTTTTATTGAACGTATTTTTGATGCACAACGAGCATTGTTGTATATTTATAAATAAACAATACAACTGTTTATTGTTAGAAGAGAAAATGTACGCGCGTTATAAATATGCCGAATATTGCTTTTGATATTCTCACATGCTAAATGGGCTTTTCACTTGATTCATAATCTACGTTATATTTTCAGTATATTGTTGGACATAATAAATGATTTCAATCAAGCTTGAATAAATGATCTACTTTCAGTGAAAGGAGCCAAAAAATAAAATGATATTGGAGGCGCCGGGTATCGATCCCGGTACCTCTCGCATGCTAAGCGAGCGCTCTACCATCTGAGCTACGCCCCCTTATATGCAGTTCTATAGAAGGAACAATCAAGCTTGAATAAATGATCTACTTTCAGTGAAAGGAGCCAAAAAATAAAATGATATTGGAGGCGCCGGGTATCGATCCCGGTACCTCTCGCATGCTAAGCGAGCGCTCTACCATCTGAGCTACGCCCCCTTATATGCAGTTCTATAGAAGGAACAATCAAGCTTGAATAAATGATCTACTTTCAGTGAAAGGAGCCAAAAAATAAAATGATATTGGAGGCGCCGGGTATCGATCCCGGTACCTCTCGCATGCTAAGCGAGCGCTCTACCATCTGAGCTACGCCCCCTTACATGCAGTTCTATAGAAGGAACAATTAAGCTTGATTAAATGATCTACTTTCAGTGAAAGGAGCCAAAAAATAAAATAATATTGGAGGCGCCGGGTATCGATCCCGGTACCTCTCGCATGCTAAGCGAGCGCTCTACCATCTGAGCTACGCCCCCTTTTGATCTGGATCGCTTGCAGAATTATTTTAGATAATGATTGTGATCTAATTTTAGAAACAAGTTACATCTATAATTTTGCATAATCTCAGAATTCATATTTATCATTTGTGTGCAGTAAAAACGAGTTATATTTCTGTGATATATGTCATTTTCATGATTAACCTTGAAAATTGTAAATAATCTACCTTTGAATAGAAGCTTCAAATTTTGTCTTTAAAAATTTTAGTATTTTGTACACGCAAGATAAACTTGTTTCACACTTTCGGGGACATTTTCATAGATTTTGTATAAAAATAATGTTCCATTATCCCCCCTAGACATGGCCGATAATTTTATCCGACTATTATATACTAAAAATAATAGTAATATTAATTCCCGAAATGAATAAATTAATCTAGTAATAAACTTAATGGCTATGGGAATTAGCGCTGTAAAAAGTGCGCGATAAATATCAATATAACGTTTAGTCAAGTATCTGACTTTTAATTAGAATAAATAGTTACAAAATTTCAATAATCGCTCGTGCTCGTTACATTGATATTTATCGTGCACTTTCTACAGCGCTAATTCTCACAGCCATTAAGTTTATTACTAGATTAATTATTATGTACTAATTTTCGACGAGATGAGGTAATTCCACAAGTTTGGTATTGCGCTGGTATCTCTTTGTTATTTGGGAAAATAGAACATTGTGAATAGAATCTGAACGTTGAAACCAATATGAAGAGCTCGCAGAGAACTCAATACCTAAGCTGTGTACTAATTTCAACGGACTTGCAAATGCATCAATATAGTAGCAATCGCGTTTGCACGTGCAACGTGAAAACTCAATGATAAAACACAGTAAGAATAGTTAATTCCTTTGCAAGAAATATTGATGAAATATACGCTGTAGAATTTTGATAAGGTTGAATTATATTAATGTACAGAACATACAATCTGGTTTCTATAAAAATGTGAATATTAATACGTTGTAAAATATACAATAGTACTATATAGTATATAAAAAATTAATATACGATCGAATGATATAATAAGTTCCCATAGAGATGAAGAATTCTCGCGACACAAGATATCACCAAAAACATATGCAAGCAATTTTGATAAAAATATATGGTGAAGTTTGGGCGCAAGTAGAAAGATCGATGTCAATCTCTAAGGTTCGGTATGATATTTGGCATATTATATTCGAATATCGTAATATTTTCTTAATTAATAACAAACGATATAGCTGTAATATTAGAATATCTGATTATAATTCAGCATGCGGAAACAGTCGAAACTCTGAATTGTTTGATCGTAAGTTTATATTCAAGATCTCTCATCGTATCACGTGATTGTCCAATGGTTATCAACAATCGTGATTTTCTTGATTATAAAATAATCAAGAGAATTATGTGGATAAAATAGAATAGCACAGTAGAACTCCGATTTACGTATGAGAAATGCCTGGATCAATACCCAGTGTCTGCAAGATACTTCTTTTGATAATTTTGCTTATTGCAATCATAAGAGTTCTCTTGATCAGTTCTATTGCGAGCATCGTAATTGAACGATCGGTTAGAGTGATATGTCGAGACCGTTGAGAAAAAAATTCACTTAAAGAAGAAAGAGAACATAATATAAAGAACGTAACGATCATTACATTTGTCTTTCTTCGAACGATGTTATTCAATTATTGTTGATGGTAATAACCTTGATCACCTAGATGGGTAGACGGACGAGACGATAGAATTGTAATTCAGGTGATTATATCGAGAGCTCTTGTGCTTGACACGCAAACAATACCATAATTGATTTCCGATATTTTCACCTTTCTTTTAGTATCTTTACAATTGTTAGCAGTAGTGACAATATCGTGATATGTAATGAATGATTGTTATCTTGTTATTTTGTAAACCATTCTCCTGTTTTTTAATCAAGTGTGGGAGGATATCGAAGTTAACGAACCATATTTTGCAACGCAGCTATTTTTTATCTTTTATGGAAAGCTCTTTGATAAAAACATTTTCCGATTAAAAAATTTTAAATTTAAATGTATGTTCTCTTTTTTAGAATGTTAATTGTTTTAAAATATGATATTTTCTATTATAAAAAAGAAAAGATAGTATTTTAGAATAATTATAGAATTTTATGGCTAATTATGACTTTTCTCATTTTTTAAGTATTTCCTCAGAAAGATTTTGTTTGCCCGGACATTTACAGAAAATATTTTTTTATATTTCCGGAATATTTCTTAATTAATTTTTTACAGTATTACACGAGCGATGTAACACGTGGAGGAACGCGCAGAGAAGGCTGGGGCAGTGCAGAAGCGACGGAGATGGTGCTCAACAATCTCTTCTATATCACAGCGAAGTTCTCGGACGAACATCCTAAAGAGACAGAAGAGCTTTGGGCGACTTTGTGTGGTTGTTGGCCAAACAATCTTAAAGTCATAATCCGTTATTTAATTATCGTCTCGGGAATGGCACCTCAGGAGCTACTACCATACGTGAGTGAAACTTTTAGGATAGCTTTATTTGCGGCGACAAGGCAGTAATAATAAAAATTAAGAAAAGGAGAGAAAGAAAAACATTTCCATATATAGATTGATTATTGCGAAGAATATTACTAAGTCCTCGGTAGTCTAAAGATTTAGGACGCTCGTACGGAATACAAGAGATCCGGGTTCGACTCCCAGCCGAAGTAGTATTTTTCGCAATAAATTTATTTACAGTTTTTCAGCACCTTCCTAATAGGATGTCTAATTGAGCATCAAATTATTAAAACTGCTTGTCAATTTAATTCGCGATTACTACAGTAGTTTATTAATCGCGTTTATAAATCCGAAAAACCAATTCGACGCGCAATTCAAGTAACTACAAATATGATATATATACATGTACATATATAGTATATATAGTAATTCAGATTGAATTATTTAAGCATTAAAGATCTAGCTTTGACCGTCATTACTTCTATTTCTTTTTGTTGAATAAAAATTGAATCATTAGGCAAAGCGTGTGGTATTGTATCTGGCACGAGCCCGTCCGGATCGTCTTGTCGACGAAATGATGACAGAGTTGGAAACAGTCGAAACTCTGAATTGTTTGATCGAGCGGACTGAAACGCCGCCCTTTTACCGGCTTACTAGCATGAGAAAAACCTCGTCACACAGCGACGCGCCCGCTGCCGATCCTGCCAATCCTCCCCGTGATCTCGGTGTCGAAAAGGGTACCATCCATACGAAAAGGCACTCCGGAGAAGATCCCGTCAAAACCGGGTAAGTATTGTAACATTTGTTGTAATATATAATTTAATTAAAATTTAAAGGTTCCATAATTGTATCTCTTAAGTTTATTTTTTACAAAAGTAGAAAGAGATGTCTAAGGACAACTAATTTTGTGAATATAATCATTCTATGATATGCAAGAATTCTAATTTAATTCAAGATATTTGAAATTTTCTGCCGCAGCTCAAAATCCGATACCGCGCTTAGAGCACTTGCAGGATTTCAAACTCCAAGGGCAGAAAAGACAAGGACTGCGAGCGGTCCACCAGTTCTTCCAGATGATCTATCAACTCCGACGACGGAAGCCGAGGTACATTACTCTGTTAAAACTTGATTTATCGTTATAAAAAGTTAAAGTTTTAAAATTATATAATTAAAAAGTTTTGTTTCTTTCGATGACAAGGTGACGAGTAAAAATATGTAAAAACTTGAGAAAACACCTAATGCATTTTAACAGGACAGTCCAATTTGAAACATTAATATTGTTTTTAGTTAACTACCGACGAGTCTTGTTACGCCGCTCGTAATGGACCAGTCGGGGTGAATGGAAAGATGCCGTGCGTCGACGAGAAATTCGATATTCCTCAACCGCATCCCTTGCCAATGCCAGAATACGGCGGATATTTCGCTCCTCTAACTGAATACTTGCCCGACAGCTCTCAGCCGATAAGCGGATTTCACAGGTGAGTGCAACCTATGGTATTTCGTTCATTTCGCTAGATATGATATGCATTAATAATCTGATATTGCTATATAACCCTTCAGGTGTAACATTGCTGTGATGTTGATCACCGACGTGGTCATCGACGGAATCCAGCTCGATTGGGCCATACATGTTCCCTTGATGCTGCACATAGTTTTTCTCGGTCTGGACCATTCCAGACCGTTGGTGCGGGATCATTGTCGTTGTTTGCTGCTGAACTTGCTGGTCGTACTTGGCGACCATCGTGATCATCTCGGCGTGGCGCGCGTGTTGCTCGCCTCGAAGACGGAGCAATTGGGATTGGGATTGTCCACTCCGACTTTACCAGTGTTGGAACACAATTTTACGGAGATGGATCCAGAATTTGATAGTTATCTGTACGGTCCTCCCACAGTTCCACCTCCCACGACACCACCACCGTCATCTTCACCACCTCCACCCTCTTCACCGCCGCCTCCTCCACCTCCTCCACCACCGCCTCCGCCACCACCCATGCCTCCCGATTCTTCAGCATCTCCGCCAGCACCTCCGCCACCTCCACCACCGCCTCCTCCTCCACCATTGCCGTCTTCCTCGGTTATGGATGGTACACCCACTCATTCGTCTTTGTCGAATTCGACGTCAACTCCTCCGATGTCGATGAATCACTCGAATCAATCGACAACGGATGACAGTAAAGATTATGGGAATTCTCACTACGGTAAGATACCTAGATGTGTGTGCTACATAAATTTATTTTTACTTTGTATTTATAAAAAAAATTTACAGAAATATAAAAGAACCGATTTTACAGAACCAGCGGTATGCAATAGCTGGCCGACCGCGAGCGGAACGGCGACGAATGCAGTGCCGCCTGTTATTGTAACGCCAGAGGACACACATAATTGGACCGGTCCTCAGCCGGGCCCCAATATGCCAATACAAGATGTCATTAAGTCCTTAATCAATTTCTTAGCGTCTAGGTATGCACGTTAATTACATATTCGGGGAAATAAAATAAAAAATTTAATTATTATGTTTCTTATATTATATTATAATTTTCATGGTAGGACAAATCAACCGCTCTGGAATTATGAGGATATGACTGCCAAAGTATGGTGGGTGCGTAGCGCCGAGCAACTCACGATATTATTGCGGCACGTGTTACGTGTCTTCAGAGACTCCTTGCCTCATGCGTTAGTTAGCCAGAGATGGGCGCAAACAGCATTGCAGTTAGGACTCTCTTGCTCATCCAGACACTATGCAGGAAGATCTTTGCAAGTTTTTCGAGCGTTGCGTGTTCCCATAACGTCTAGAATGCTGTCTGATATCTTATCTAGATTGGTGGAAACAGTTGCTGAGCAAGGCGAAGACATGCAGGTATCAACAGTTTTCTTGTTGATATAATTACTTTTATCTTAAAAAATATAATTGAGAATGATTTTAAAAAGAATTTTAAGTTGATTGGTATCTTGAATATTTCATATGATTATAATATTATAATTTTCATGTGCATTAGGGATATGTAACAGAGTTGTTGCTAACATTGGAAGCAGCTGTTGATTCGCTCGAATCAGACTTTAGGCCTCTTGATTTCATGAAGGAAATCTTCAAATCGACGCCTAATTTGAATAACAAAGATCCTGTATCGGGAAATGTAATCGGAGGGAAGCGTAGTCCAGGTGGAAATGGATATCCAGCTGGACCGCACATATTTTCTCACTTAAATCAAGGCGGGCATACTAGGAGCACTAGTTACTCGGTTAGCTACTGCATGAAGAGGTCCAGCGGTGGAAATTCCGCAACCAGCGATATGAAAGGTTACTATTTGATACTTCTTGTATTATATTGGGTGGCACCCAGTTGGACACGGCTCAATTGGACACGAGCCATTCACAGCGCTTGAGACTACAAAGCTCCTAAGCACCGGTTGCTGTGATTGGTGGTGTCCAATCGAGCCGTGATCAATCGGGATCACCCCATTATATTTACAATGCTTTTTACAAGATTTCCAAGTATAAATTTTAATTCTAATTCATTGATTTTGAACGAAAACTTTTATCTGTAGAACTGGAGAACAGAACTGGCGGCAAGTATCCTAACTCAAACTTGTCGAGATCAAGGTCAGCACAATCCTTGAAATTATTAGGTGATTCCGCCACGCAGGATGACAAAATGACAATACTAGCGCAATTGTTCTGGCTGTCAGTATCCTTGCTTGAATCAGATTATGAACACGAGTTCCTCTTAGCATTGCGGCTACTTAGTCGCGTGCTGCACAGGCTACCACTCGATCGACCAGATGCCCGGGACAAAGTTGAGAAACTGCAACAGCAACTGCGATGGACTTCGTTTCCTGGTGTACACGCGCTGTTATTGAAAGGATGCACCAGTCCAAATACATACGAACCAGTCGTTACACTGTTGTCTCAATTCACGCCTCTATTAGATCTGCCAGTCGTCGATCCGACGCAAAGCCTCGCATTCCCAATGAATGTTGTATCATTGTTGCCTTACATGTTATTAAATTACGAAGACGCTAACGAACTGTGCATCAGAAGCGCCGAAAATATTGCGCAAGTAAGTCTTTTTTTTTTATTGACTTTCTATCACATTAACGCATGAAAAGTATGCAATTATCAATTTATTTACTGAAATATACTTATTTATTAACTCCTTTTTTCTTATAGGTAAGCGCGGAAAAAGGAAAAAAATTAGAGAATCTTGGTACTGTAATGACGTTGTACAGCCGACGTACTTTCAGTAAGGAAAGTTTCCAGTGGACTAAATGTGTAGTGAAATATCTTTACGATTCTTACGCTCATCTTAGTTTCAACATGCTTGCTTTTCTTGTGGAAGTACTGGAGAAAGGTCCAAGCAGTGTGGCATTACCGGTACTTAGTATTATACATTGCATGTTGCATTACGTGGATTTGGCGTCTCCAGCCGCGCAACCGATCAATACCGAACTGCTGAGAGTGATTTCTAAATACGTTGAGGTAAAGATTTAAATATTTAATTAGCTTTATAATCGTTTATCAAATAAATAAACAATGTTTCAGGGCACTCAATGGAAAGAAGCGTTAAAAATTTTGAAGCTTGTAGTGACAAGATCATCAACACTCGTAGCGCCGCCGACTTCGATGCACGGTTCATCTTGGGATTCTTCGCTATCATCACCACATCCTAGCTTCACCGATACAGAGATATTTACCAAAAAAGAGCTACCGGGTAAATCGACATTTCCGTTTAAATTAATTATTTTTATTTTCCCTGAATGTACATTATCAATTTTGTGTTTTTTTTTTTCCTTTGCGGCATGCATACGTGGCACGGATGATTTCTTGCACGACACCCAGATTGCGATAAGAACAACAATAATAATAGATAATCTTTTCCTAAAATAAAATTATTATTTTTTTAAACCGAACATGCTTTGAATTATATTATATATATATATATATATATATTTTTTTTTTTTTCTTAAGTATATTTATTACTTATGTTTCTACGATTATTGGGATTTTTGTGTATCTGAAATCTTTTTAACTAAAATATTTTACAAAATGTGGTAAAAAACGTATTCTATTATTATCATGTAGAAATATAGATATTATTTTTATTAATCGTCTTTTTTAATATTTGTAATATTTTATGTTTTATTTTTATTAATAGGAAGAACAATGGACTTTACGTTTGATCTGTCTCAAACACCAGTAATCGGTCGACGTTGGCTGATACGTCAAGGTACTGAAGAAAAATTAATCAGTTCTCCACGTTGTTCGTTATCTCTATCGCCGGCTGAAAATAATGCCATTGCCGGTTGGAAGAGACCATGGATGTCACAGGTATATTTATTAAAAATATCAAACGAGAATCTATTATGATTACAATAAAGATTTGATTAAAAATTGATAACATTTATAGGCAGAAAATTTAATGTAATATTATGTATAAAAATTATGCATTTAAGATATATAATCGATTTTTTTCTGTAGGGCCGTGTCAGGGAGTGCTTGGTAAATCTGTTGACGACATGTGGACAAAGAGTTGGTTTACCAAAGAGTCCATCGGTACGTTTTTATTTGCAGCCGTTTCAATTATTAATTCAATTATTAAATCATAGTATGTCCTATCCTATAATCTATCCTAATATAATACATATGTATATGTACATTTACATGTAATTATATAGTATTTTATTCTAAATTATCTTAAAACACTTATATTTTATAAATTTCTTTTTTAAGAAATAAATTTATATAAATATAGATATTTTAAAATAAAATAATGTAATTGTATAATATATATACATATGTATATATGTATATATAATTAGTAAACATGTGATCACATCAGAACATGCCATAGCATGCTTTATAGCGGAAGGCGGGTATGTTTTTCGAACATTCTTAATTTATTATAACTTCAAAAAATGAAGTCTAATCGACTTAATCAGTCGAAATTGAGATATTTGAAGGCAATTACAAATTGAGGGATTTAATTGAAAAGCAGCTCAAAAGTGGATTCAATAACGTTAAATAATATTTAATGTCATAGTAATCTTTTCTGTTCATCTGACATTTTTGGAGCTCTGGAGTCACCGCCTGAAGTATTGATATATAATTAAGAATCACCCTGTACATCTTGCAAAAAACAACTGACTCTCATTACCCCTTTCTAGGATGAGCACATTAGTTCAATGACATTGTATAGCAAGGTAAAGGGTTACTTATAAATGCCATCTGCACACCCGCTGTAATTTGCAATATTATAAGTACTCGTAATTAAGTGCAATGTTCTTTGAGTCTTTTTTTCACGCTTTAAGTCAGCTTTATAAAGTGCTTTCACTCGCACATTGTTACAGGAGTAATAAAACATTTGTGTAAGGTATTATGAAGTGGTAGTAGAGTATAATTTTGCAGCACAGTCATCTGGGATCTATATATATATTATCTTTTCATGCTTTGTCGTCTATTGTATGTGTGATCATATGAGAAATTATCTGTATAAATATATAATAGAAATGTTTTTGCATATTCTTAATGATTGCTGGATACATAAATTCTATAATCTGACGATGTATTATGTGTTATCAGTTGTTTTGATATAAAACAATGTATTGATTGTTCACTATTATGTACATATATGCAGGCGACTCCTTTACGCTATCGCATTAGCTGTTAATCTTTTGAAAACTTAGTATCATGTTGCTATTTTTTATCTTTCAGCATTACATCCTAATTTGGCAAATTTTAATTGTTTTCTTTACAATTAAAATTTATTCTTTGATATTAATATAACTATAATTATTTATTAGAATGAAGGAGAAATTGCGATGGCTCTAGAACACTCTGTATATATGATTAGTTATTGTATCACATATATATATATATATATATATATATATATATATGCACAATTGCAGAATATCAGCAAATTCACGTAATCAGTCGGAATTGAGATATTTGAAGGCAATTACAAATTGAGGGATTTAATTGAGAAGCAGCTCAAAAGTGGATTCAATAACATTTGATATTAAATAATATTTGATGTCATAGTAATCTTTTCTGTTTATCCACAAAATACGAAATACGCTGTAGCTATTGATTTCATATTCATGAAATTGTCACTTATGTATTTGCTTTTAATCTCTCCAATTTCTTTATTTACATTTTTTAATATATTATCAATTATTTTTTTAAAATTCAGGTCATATTCAGTCAAAGTTCGGACTTGATGGAAAGACAATCATCCATGGCTTCTTCAACAGAGGAGGTTTCTGGTGCGAATAATGATTTGAGTGGAGGATCCAGACGGGATGACGAACAGTTTGGTGTATTTAAGGACTTCGATTTCCTCGAATACGAAAGTGAAAGCGTTGAGGTAAACCTATAATTCATTACGCTTACGCTTCATTACTTTTGAATGGAGAATATTGATTTTAATTTATTCCGTTAAACTTTACAGGGTGAGAGTACCGACAACTTTAACTGGGGAGTTCGACGTCGTCCTCTTAGCGAGGGAGAAGAACGAGAACCTAGTTTGCGACAGTTCGAGGAAAGTTTAAGTGAGAAGACGCCTTCATCCAGCAAACACACAACGCGGGTAAATATGTAAAAAAGATTAAAATTAGTTTTATTATACATATATAATTTATGTTTTTTATATACTTTTTACCTTTTTAAATTATTTGTTTATATATATTAATAAAATTCTGAATGGACGTAGCGCGGTGTCACCGAAGAATCATCAGATGACGAGGCAGGATCAGAATCACCCTTGGACGAGGTACCAGGAGGGTCTGGAACAGGACAGGAGGCAAACAGCATCCCGGGAATGTTCCCGCCGTCTTCTCTCTCGTTGATACCTAGTCGCACGCGTCATGATTCATCTACAAGGTCTGACACATCGTAAGTTTCTGTATGAAGATCTTTGGAAACGCGTACATTAATCGTTTTATTTGAATTCTTCACCTATAGTGGCTCGAGCGCAGGAGATCTCGGCGACGTTACGCCTTGCAATGCGTCACCGAATTTGTCCGCGTTGATGCCATTCCGACAAGTTGTACGAGACGACGCTGAAGAGATCTGGAGACAGCAAATTCAAAGTCTCATCACTCAAGCTCCGTACAATACTTTAAGCTTTTTCCAGTTGCTGAGCAAGATCTTGAGGGTAAGCTACAAAAAATATAATTTATCTTATTAAAATAGGAGCAAATGATAAGGTAATTGTTATTTTTCCCAAAGAAAATTATTCAAAAAATCGGTGTGTTTCAGGATGTGAGCAGTAAGTCTGTCGGTCTTACACGCGAGGCAAGTGCTTTACTTTCTAACGGCAGCTCGGCTTCAGCTCACTTGGGTTGCCATTTATCTGGTCATGCCGAGTTACTTAGTTCTAAAGCTGACCCGCCTCTAGTGTGGTTCTCAGTGACGATATTCGCGAATCAGCGACTAAACGAGACGCTACGCTTTGGAATGCTGGAAGTTCAAGAACATTTAGAAACATTTTTGGATAGGAAGGATCATGCTACGGAAGTAGGTTTTGCTAAAATACTTAATAATAACTATTTAAAACAGATAGTTATGGTATTTGTTATCCTTTCAGTGCTTAGAGGCAGCTAAAGCAACTGCTAAGCTTCAGGCGTTAGGCGGCAGTCACACCACAGAGGCAGGCGTCGAAGAGATGTTGTTGGATCTAGGCAGAGCGCTCTACAAACTACACTTCCAACTACTTCTGCTGATCGAAGCATCGAACAAAATGTTAGGGGCACTAATGAACGCCGCTAGAAACGTACAGATTCCTTTGCAAGATCTATCGGTCGAGATCGCTAATATGAAAATAGCATTAAGCAGAGCGCTCGAAGAAAGCACCGAAAGCGAACGAGGGACACCTACTCCAACACCTAGTCCTAGTCCTCTACCGGGCTCCGGAGCCGTGGAAGAAGTTGCGAGAGTCGCCGAACTTTTGAGAAATGCACGGTGGTGTCCGGCGCTCGAAGCCGTAAGACTGCACAGAGCACAATGGCCCGGAGATGCTTTTCATGATGACGATGATGTAACGACGGCTGTTAATATGTACTGCAAATACATAGGTCAAGATAGATCAGGTGAGTTTAATAGATGCTGCATTAAATACTCAATAATATTTTAACGGCAGTTATATACAACATATTTTTTATTTAAAGAAAGAAGACAGAAATGTGAAAAATACTTTGAACATGTAATTTCTAAAAAACTATCAAAATACTATAAGCTCAATATTCTTTTATAAATTGTATAATGTCATTATTGTTTCTTTTTTTAATATTTGCGTGATCTATACTATTATACATAACAATACATGAAATACATATTGTTTATTTCGCTTCTTAATATGTTTTAGATATATTTGTCGTGACGAGAAAGGACGACGAGATGTCAGAAATATTTGGCAGACTGATGGAAAGTCTGTTTGAAGTGCTAGCGGCCGTAACAGGATTGGAAGCGTCTACGAAAGCCGCGCGCAATCAACATGATTCTAATCACTCAAAAAACGAATGTTAACATAAGTTTTAATCACGTAGCTTTAAACGCGAATAATTCTCGTATAGATTTAAATCGACGTATATATACATATTTAATTGTCGTACATATGTAGATGTCTTATATACACTGGTAGATAAATGTATATACCTATATCACGAAAAAAGTTCTTAGATCTGTCGTTCTGTTTTTTTTTTTTTTTTTTTTAATGCGAAGAATGTAACGAATCGCTATCGATTGTAAATTTGGCGAAATAAATCATCGAAATCTTCAGAAATGTTTTGAAATTTGCACACAACCTTTATAGGATCCCTAATCAGGATGGTTATGCGAAAAAGGCAAGTGTATAATACGCGACCTGCAGAAGATCAACAGGTTGAATCTTGTCAAGATGTGACGCATTTCGTGAGACGATTCGTCAATTCTGCAGTTATCTCCGCAATGAAAATTGTCGCTGTGATGGTTCGTTAAACTTCTTATTTGTCAATTACGGAATAATGCCCATAAAATTTCATATATATTATTGAAACAGTATCTCAAGTGTATATGTATACATATAACAATTGTCTGTATTGCTGATAAATAATTTTTACTTATATCATTTGCTTTTAACTATTAGGATCATGAGTCCTCGCTTAATCACACAAAATGGCCTATGTGTGGAAATATGAATGTACGAAAAGGTCTGCGATGTGTGAAAGAGGAGATGCTTCGATGGAATCAGTTATCGGTATATTTAAAAAAAAACAGCATGTCAAAGGAAAAAAAACAAAATAACACATTTTGTTGACCTTCTATAGGCTTTGAGAAATTGGATGTTCCATGTAAAGTTTATCAGCCTTAATAAAGAAGGCACCGCTGAATTCTACGTGTATCATGTTCTGTGGAGCATACCCACACTAGCATATCCGGAGCCATATGTGACTGTCAGCGTGTTCTTCTGCATCGCGGCGAGTCGCGTGCAGCCGCCGCACTTTCCAGTCGACGTTAGTTTGTTGTGTATATTTTCAGCTCTTTCCCCTTGCGCGCTCCCCCCTCCCCTCTCTCTCTCTCTCTCTCGCGCGCGCGCGCACATCTCGATATACATTATACGTTAACAGAGAATGAGCAGATTCAGATAATATCAGAAATTACTTTTAACATGTTTTATCATAATTTGAATATGATACAATATAAAGGTATTTAAACTATATAGAAATATACCGTACTATATATATAATTACATTTGTTCAAACTTGTATCTGAAATAATAAAAGATAATACTAGCCGGGGATTTTATACATATAGTAGCCACATATTAAATTAAAGATTTAAATTAAACACACTTTCTTATAACATAATTTTTTAATAGGTCACATATGTATTCGAGGGACATCAGTTTGTGCATCGGTTAGACGTAGTTTTTCAACCAAAGTGGCTTTATGACATTCTCGACATGAAGACTATGCTGTTCAAAACTTTCACATTTTAAGATATCTATTCCTCTTATTATTTCTTTTTAAAAAAAACTGTATTTTTTCTTTTAAAATTGTATAATTATGAAACAATTTTTTTTCTATGAATTAATTATAATAAGAATTTGTATATGTAAGTGGCAATGAAAACATGATACATTTCAAACATATCCTACATATTTGAACGCAAGCATAATTCCTCCGTGTTGCACCGTGAAACGGCTGCAGCTTTTCGAGGCAGATTTTTAAGTGCCTGCACCGTGCAGAATGTCGTAAAAGTAAGAGTGTCAGATTTCCGCGAATCGGGCACGCGCCAGCCGCAATCTGGTCCAGCACCGGACGCCGTTTCATTTCACTCAGTTAAACAATACGAGCAGGTGATATCCTATTCCGTAAGAAAGAACGTACCGCGCGTTGCCATATTGCCATTCCCAATCACATATTTACGATCTTTGCATTAAATCATTAACATCAATCGTTACAGCATTGACAGCGTTTCCTTGTCTACAGCTGTAGAAACGAAACAATAAGTGTAAAGTCAGAAAATTATTGAGTTTGGTTTATTGGAGTATAATTTCTTATAAAAATTTTAATATACGTTAAAATAAATATCCTTATTTTTTGTTTGATTTAATCGTATGTCGCTTTAGTTTTATAGAATAATTATAGAAATTCGAAATTTCTTTGGAGAAAATGTTATTATATACGATTGAAAATCGATCTTTTTTCCTTTATACAATTAATATATCACACACTGATATTTCCATTTATAGGTAATGTTTCACACTGCTAACATTAAACTATCATAGATATATCAATACGTGGTTGGTGGTTTCATTCATTCTCTCCCACGAAGTTTATGCACTATATTACTACAAAAAGCCTACTACAAAAAGAATCTATTTACAATCCCGCGGAAGACACCGAGGAGGTGTGAACCCTGCGTTGGTCCCTGGACCCGATCCTGACTTCTTTTACGCGTTCTCAGCTTTAAATAATAAGACCGACGAATGGATGAACCAATTCGACAACCAGAGAGGGCCCTCTCTTGTACGTGCATATGGGGACCGAACGACGCCGGGAGGTCTCTCGGTGTCTCAGCAGGAGCCTGTCTCAGAAGAGAATAGAGATGGCAAGCCACGTGTTGGACATATCGAAACTCGGAGACATGATTGTACTTTTAACAATATCGACTTAATTTTTCTTCTTAGGCATCCAAAATTCAATTATTTTAGCATTCAACATGTCTTCCGATATTCTAAAAACTTTTGACATGTGTGCCTGTGTGTAATGGACAATGGTGTGTGCTAATAAATTTAAATAAAGGACAAACGGGCAATTGGGAATTGGCACAGTAATCAGTGCGTAATGCCCTTCAAAAAGCTTTATCTTACATAAATGAAATGAGATTTGTACATGTTTCGACTAGTATTCTAGCCTTCTTCAGCAAAAACATACGATGAACAGTCAAGATCCATTAAATTGAAGACGTAAACTTACGATGTTAACAAAAATTGGCATGATTTTTTAGTCATAATCGTTGTGCAGTAACCCTTACTCCAGAGTCGTTCTCATCAGTTGCAAGGCTGGATGGTAGTAATGATTAAAAACTTCACAGCGATGTAAATCTCAAAAAAACAAATTCGCATGATGGTTCGGTTATCTGAACATAATTCGCATGTAGATACGGTTACATAGACATAATTAATATAATAAATCACTGAATATAACTATCAAATAATAAAAAACGTGTACCTACAAATTTTATTTCATTTATACATATAAAATAAAGCTTTTTGTACAGCATTACGCACCGATCACTGTGCCAATTCCCAATTGCCCGTTTGTCTTTTATTTATTTTCATTATTTATTAAGGGAATTTCATTACTAATAAATTTATTTATTTTTTTATAATTTAGTAACTCTAATATGTATAATGAATGACCTCTACCATACCGTAGATGTTGGATTCGACTAACAAGAAGTGAAATTCAACGAATCTTATGACTTGACACGATTCTTTTTCCTTCTGTCGAGGATACGTTCTCCAAATATGAAAAACGACTGATTGCTCATCGTTTCACAAACAATCCGTGTTATATAGGTCAAAGCGATATTAGTTTACGACCGCCAACCTCAGTGGCAGCAACCACCGCCTATTTATACGATGCTGGGCTTTTTGTCAGTCGCGGGGTGGTTCTTGTCCTAAACATCACATCCGCCGAAATGTGTGCCTCCTACGCTGACCGAGAAAAGGAGGCTCGCGAGGGACCGCGAGAGGCGGCGAAGACAAGCGCGAGGGAAGTTACGACAGGAACCACCGCTTTGCTTTCTTCAGTGGCTTCAAACATCCGCTGCACCAGCCGCTACCAGATTTTTCGTTTACCCCCTGCCGTCTCAGTTTGCGCCACAAAGAAACGTTCGTGCATGCGTTCGTTTTCCCTTTCCACGTCAGAAGCGAAAGGATGCGTCTCGGGATACGTTTCTACCCGATACGATTCTTGACGTTTTTCAAAGCCTTCGCTTCGTTTCCGGTTCTTCTATGACGTCGTGTTCTCTTTTATGGGTTGCACAGTTGGAAATTTTTGAATTAATGTTATATATATATATATATATATATATAATTATATACATATATACACATATTATTATTTTAATTTATGGACGCAGGAAATATTTAAAATATTTAGCACTCGATGCGCAATTTCTTAACTAGAGGCTCTCTTGATCGATTGTGACCACGTGTCTCGAAGGAAGAGGGATTGCGAGATACATCTGGACCAAGACTATCGGACACGTCGGCCTTCTTCGAGACGAGAGAAGCGAGAAGGGGGATGACCGGTGGACGCTGCG